AACATCGAACATTACGAGATGTTCATTCGACATCAACTTCCAATAAGCAACGAACATCTCAGTAGACCTAGTGACAACTTATTGCTTCGGCAATCTATTGTCCGCCGAAACATAACATTTTTGAAGTTTTCAAAAATTACCTTTAGAAGCTATCAGAATGATTACAATAACTTTTAACTTAATACTAATTCTTACTCGAGTCTATAAATCTTTCCCTAGACATGGAAATCAGAAAGAATCATTCTATATATGTGAGACGTTTCTGCGAAATGCACATCTGGCCATTGCGAAGGTATGAAGTGCAAAGGATGTAATATAGTGCAGTAAACGCAGAGAAAAAAATTATATAACCTCTGATTTTTTTTACTGTGCCCCTAATTGCATGAAATTTTGGAATTAGGTTTATCTTAACTGTAAGTTCAAAAGTGATAACAAATCGGGTTCCGCCCCGACCCCCGTGGGTTAATAAATATTGAGCCGTTTTATTGCTAGAAAATGTTTTTAATATTAAAGGATATAATTAAAAAATATTTTTGATACATTTATCTTGCAGTAGAATCATTTTCAACCCCGTGAAAATCCTAAAACATCCCCTTAATGAAAAATTGTTTGAAAAAATTATTATGAAATTGAAAGAAAATTAAGAAATTCAAAATGATATAAATGTTATTTCAATTTCTCGAAAATAATTACATTAATTAAAAGGTACCTTTTTTAAGCAATTTTTCTTATTTTTTAAAAAAGTTATTTTCTTCAGAAGGATTCCGTTTAGTTTTTAGTTTTGATAATACTTTTAATTGCCTTTTTTCGGTTCTTAAGTCTGGAACCCTGTCTGATAGGGTCACCGATTCTGTTTACAGGTTGGATTGCAATGATTGCAATATGTGTTATATTGGGGAAAGTTCCCAGTATATTTATAAGAGAGTTAATCAACATATTTATAATTCAAAAAATCCAAACCAATTCAAAACGATGTTTTCAGATCATATGCTCAATCTCAATCACACTTTTAACATTTCACATCCTGTTATTCTTTATATCGAAAAAAATAGTGACCTTAGAAAATTTGCTGAATCCTTTTTTATTTCATTAAATTCCTCCTCTTGTGTTAATAAACGCAATTCATCCCACCTTTTACATGATAGTTACCAGCTAGTTATTGATTTTATTAAAAAAAACAAAAAATTAATTTGCTATCTCCTTATATTATTTTTTATTTTTTACAATTTTGTTTTTTCTTGTTCAAACTTTTACATGTTTTGCATTTTCCTTTTGATCAAATCCATTTCAAGCACTCGTGTTCGATGCGTCCGTGCTTCGTTGCATTTGTCCTCCCATCAATACGCCTAGTGAAATATTACAGTCGAGTATGGTGCTCGGTATGGGCGTGTTTCTTGCCTCACAATGTTAAATTCTAAAACTTTTAGTCAAATTAGTTTTCAAATCTTTTAGTTATTCACAATTTTTTCTACAAAAATGTTTTTTTCTAATATGTTATCAGTTTAATTTTTTAAATTAAAGTTTTTTTGAGTGTTTTTGTCCTGTGGTGTGTATAATGTTTCTCTATGTTATAATTAATCTATATTGGTGTTTATATTAGTTAATAAAATTTTCAAATTGTTGTAGTTGCTGAATGATGACACGCATCTTGTGTCGAAACGTATAAATAAAAGTTTTTATACTTTATACCTTTTTTATTTCGACGAATGGGCTGCTAGTTACTTTGAAATATATATATATATATATATATATATATATATATATATATATACAGGGCCGGTCCTGGGGTCCTGAGCGCCCGCATGCAACCTTTTTTCTAGCGCCCCCCCCCTATTAATATTAACTGTTTTAACAGTTTATCATTAAAATTATATAAATATTTACATATTTTTAAAAATTAATTTTTAATTATTCTGGATTTTGTACACAAAAAATTAGATCTAATCTTAAAGCGTATAAAATATATTGATTTTAAATTTATTTAGAAAATCAAGGCGATTAGCGGGTTGACTATAATCAAATATTTTTAAAATTTCAGTTATTTTTAACGTATATGCAATATTAATATTTGGGTTTTAGAACATTTTATTTATTTATTATGCGATTTATTCTATTGAGCAAATCATGCCAGTAGTGCCAAGAAAACTAGCTTTTCATTTTCAACCATAACACTCGTATTTCATGTTGCTTGTTTTAAATTTTAATTTAATTTAATTTTTTATCATTTACAATATCCAAAATTGCGTCGTAAACTTCTCCTTATTGATATCGTAAGAGCCAAATTGTATTTATCTTTGCTTTCCCGTCATATTCAGAGTATCAGTTTGTTGTTTTAAAGTTAAAATTTTAACGTACTTTAGAAGTATTGTTCAAACATCAGTAAAAAATGCAAAGAAATTACACATTTCTTGAACTATATTGAAAAAAAAAACTTATTATATTTGATGTGTATTATTTCTGCATAGTTAATAATTATTAAATTTAGAGTAAGGACACCGCTAGGTATAAAAAAAGCCTTAATATTTTCGTTCCAAAGTGAATTTTGCTTCCATTTTTCATATTTGTTCCATTTCCATAACCCTAACCACGCATGTCTTCAACATTCAAAATTCATCAGAAGCGAAACATTAGCAACAAAAGCAAAAGTTACAATTCAATTTCTCGGAATAAGCATGCCATTTTTTAAGCACTGACTACCCATTTATTATTTTCCCGATTATAATTTGTTTATATTTTTTAACAAGTTTCGTTTCAACTAAATCAGCTCGTAATTTTTCGTCAATAATGCCCAATAATTAATTTAACCTTTCGAAGGTTTGAGCTTATTTGATTGAACACTAGATAATTTCTTTTTCGATTCCACGGTAACTTCAAACAAAGAAAAAATTGAAATATTGAATAAGTAGATTAAGAAATGAACAAAGCTTTTATTTACTAATTTGCAGAGTTATTAATCGGTTAATTGTTTCTACTGATATCACATTGCAAAATAAATGTGAATAAATGCTTTTTGTGTCTCCGTACCCCTAATTAAGTTAGATTGTTTATTATAATTTATTAATTATTCTAGATTTTATATAAATAATTCTGGATTTTATATAAAAAATATGAATATTATATTATAAATTTAATTTCCGAAACTCGTTTTGGCGCCCCCTAAGGCGTGCGCTCGCATTTTTTGCATGCATCGCATGCAAGGCAGGACCGGCCCTATATATATATATATATATATATATATATATATATATATATGAGTCAATAGTTTTGGGAATCAAATACTGCTTACTTATACATTGCTCGAAATAATATATGAACACAATTCGACAAAAATGCGATTAGTTTTAGTCGGATCATAACTCCTTTAATTTCGACTCCATCGAAATTTGTAATATACCATTTGAAAGGTTTATGTTGAGCACTATAAAACCCAATTTTACCGAAATGCATAAAATGTAAAACCTCGCCACTAGATGGCTTTAAATACAACAATTAAATCTTGAACGAAATAAAAAACGACTTTGCTCTTTCAAATCTAACTTAATATTATTCCTAGAACACTCAATTTATCAACATCAATTTATTAGGATTTTTTTATTGACAACATTTTGTTCATCACATGATTTATGCTAAAATGTATATTTTAGGAGATATTTGCAAAAAAACGAAGAAAAACGCCAAAAATATATGAATTTTAGTGGACAGTAAGTTGAATAGTATTAGTTTTTTTGAAAAACTATAAAAGACATTTTTCTGATAATTAGTTTTTCTTTCGATTTTCGACGTTATTTTGAAAAATGTAATTACAAAATTGAGATAGGGTGTCATCCCCCCGGGAGGTGGTTGCGGAACCCGAATTGTTTTCACTTTTGAACTTGAGGGTAAGATGAACCTAATTCCAAAATTTCATGCAATTCGGAGCACAGTAATAAAATTCAGACCCAAAACGCTCCGTTTACTGCACTAATAATGGTCATGCGGCTTTTGAGTGAACAGATTATCCCATTAGAATGAATCAAAAAACATTTGCGTGCAGGCGGTGTGAAAAAATATTTTTACAAAAAAATAGGTAATTTCGAAATTCTTCAGAATTAATTTCAAATTTTGTAAATTAATTTAAAGTTATAATTTTCAAAAGAAAATCTAAATTTTGAAATATTTCAAACAAATATTAAATTATTTTAAAAAAAAAATACAAAAATTTCAAAATGTTTTAAAAATTTCCATATCCAAATTTTCAAAAAAGATTAAATATTTTCAAAAATTTCCAAATTATTAATAAAATTAATACATTTTATTATTTTTTTCAAATATCGCAAAAAAATCGTAAATTAAAAAAAAAATCACAGCTTTGAAAAAAATTCAAAATTACCAAAAAATAAAGTTTTGAAACTTTTTAAAATATCAAAGTTTAGAAATAATTGAACAAATTTTTTGTATTCGTACACATAAGATGTAAGTTTACAGTATCAATAATGAATAATCTATTTGAAAATATTTAAAACAATTGTTAATAATTATTGAATAATTTACATTGATTATTGGTTATTTTCATTCCTCAAGGTTGAATTAAAATACGGAAAGTTCCAGCAATTTGCCCTAAAGCACGACGCCATGCACTACTAGTTGAATCATTCAAATGGTGCTCCCGCAAACGTGGCCAAAAAATTGTATCCACACATACGCAAACACACACACACGTACATCAATTGTATTGTAAGATGTTCTAAAATATTCAGAAACTTCTGAAACGTAAAGATATGCAAAAATATTTATTTTCAATTTTTCATATTAAATATGTATCATACCTACATATGCGAAAGAGTCATTGACTTTGAAGACGATTCACTTACGTTTGATATGAAAAGTACCAATCAATCATTCAAAAACTATCATTTGACCAATTCCAATTGGGTTGATTAAGATATTACTATGTAAGTAAAATAAACAGAAGAATCCAATATCAATTCTCAATTAATTTTATTTAAATTGTTTTAGATTACCGGACATTCGTCTTCATCCCATCGGAATCGGCAGTTTATTTTTCCGTTGCAGCGAAGCTTGGATGAAATGCATGTGGCATCCTCGCAATCGTACTCGTCCGCTTCACATGAAGCTATAAAGACATTCTTTATATGAATACACATGTAATATTTTATTATATGAATCTACATCTAATTCTGTCTTAAAATCAAATTTAATTATAATCCACGTACACACACACACACACACACACACATATATATATATATATATATATATATATATATATATATATATATATATTTTGTAGAGTTTCGAACAAGAATCCAAAAATAATACAAAATAAAAAACAAGAAAAGTTTTTAAAAAAACAATTTCTTTATTTAATTATTTGTTTATTGTCGACGTTTCGGAACTAGGTACGTTCCATCTTCAGGACATCTGTCAAGAAACATGATCTTGATGAGATTTTAGCAAACAATATGTTTAGGAAAAGAAAATAGATTTTTCTTAAATAATGAATTAATTGTAAAAAAATATAATAATGTACAGAAATATGATAATATGTTCAAAATGAAAATGATAAAAAAGATAAAAATAAATGAGTGTCACATATTATCATATTTCTGTACATTATTATATTTTTTTACAATTAATTCATTATTTAAGAAAAATCTATTTTCTTTTCCTAAACATATTGTTTGCTAAAATCTCATCAAGATCATGTTTATTGACAGATGTCCTGAAGATGGAACGTACCTAGTTCCGAAACGTCGACAATAAACAAATAATTAAATAAAGAAATTGTTTTTTTAAAAACTTTTCTTGTTTTTTATTTTGTATTATTTTTGGATTCTTGTTCGAAACTCTACAAAATATACACAAATCCAAGACTCTACCATTCAATATATATATATATATATATATATATATATATATATATATATATACATATATATATATATATATATATATATATATATATATATATATATATATATATATATATATATATATATATATATATTCATCTGGAAATATGAACACACACACACACATATATATATATATATATATATATGTGTGTGTGTTTATTTATATATATATATATATATATATTAGTGATGTGCCGACTCGAAAATTTCCTGATTCGAATTATTCGAATCAGAAAAAAACCTGATTCGAATCATGATTCGAATCAATTTGAATCAAGTTCATATATGAACAATTATAATTTAAGAGAAGAAATAATATCATTTTGATAATTTCATAAGTGAAATAATTAATTTAGTAAGCAATTAATTCCAAAAAGTGCAGAGATGAATACATTTATATTATATATATAATAATAAACTAGCTACAAATATAACTAATATTTCAAGTGAATTTACAGTAAAATAGAACCAAACACTTCTATATCACTAAAGCATATAAAACAATGTTCCTAATCTTACGTTGAACAAATGCATGTGTATATTATTGATTGTTTAGATCTAATCTAAACAGGGGGCTGAATCTAACGTCTTACGAATGACTTAAAATTCAATCCACTACTGTAAAGATTGATATTATTTCAGTTGTGTGAATTTGCCATTACTTGCATAATTAAAATATGATAATTTTGTATGTGTATAAAACTCGTTGTGTAGTTTATTTTGATAATAATTAAAATCTAAATCGCGTATTTATTATCTAAATGAGTTTTTGATATTTCATGAATAAATTTGCTCTCAGCGCTTAGTCAAAAATAAATAAACACTCAAGACCCATACGCACAGCATCTCGATAAGTCGATACGCTGAAACACGGACACATGTTTCGAACTCAAGTCGGTATGATTCAGTTTGAGTCATATGAACTCGGATAAATTCATAACGACTTGAAGTCGGGATGATTCGGTTTGAGTCTTAGGAACTCGGATCAATTCATATCGACTTCAAGTCGAAATAAGTCGGTTTGAGTCTTAGGAACTCGGATCAATTCATATCGACTTGAAGTCGAAATAAGTCGGTTTGAGTCTTAGGAACTCGGATAAATTCATAGCGACTTGAAGTCGAAATAAGTCGGTTTGAATCATAGGAACTCGGATGAATTCATATCGACTAGAAGACAATGAATGCGGTTAAAGTCATATAAATAGGAGTCGGGTGATACATTTAAGCGTATTAAAGCCGGGTGGCTCGCATGATTTAATTCATTTTTATATTTATTATTATTATTATTTATATTATTATAATATTGAATTAAATTAAAACATTTTTTTTATATTTATGAAAATTTGTGTTCATACATGCACACAGTAAATATTTCGCGGCTTGATACGAGTTGATTCGAATCAAGTAAAATCTGATTCAAATCAAGTCGTTAAAGGCTTGATTCGAATGATTCGAATCACTTGATTCGACTTGGCACATCACTAATATATATATATAATCAATAACTGTTTTAAATAATTTCAAATAGATTATCTTCTATATATATAAAAATAGGTCGGGTTTTCCTTCCTGACAAAATAACTCCAGAACGCACGAACCGATTTCGACAATTTTGCATTTGTTGGAAAGGTCTGGGGCTCCGCAAGGTTTATATCTAAGAAAATTAGTTGTGCATGGCATCGTGCCTGAATGCAAGCTGCTGGAACTTCACGCACCGTAATTAAAAATTCGAGTAATAAAAATAATCAATAACTGTTTTGAATAATTTCAAATAGATTATCTTCTTCTTCTATATATATAAAAATAAGTCGGGGTTTCCTTCCTGACGAAATAACACCAGAACGCACGAACCGATTTCGACAATTTTGCATTCGTTGGAAAGGTCTCGGGCTCCGCAAGGTTTATAGCTAAGAAAATTAGTGGTGCATGGCATCGTGCCCTGATGCAAATTGCCGGAACTTCACGCACCGTAATTAAAAATTCGAGTAATAAAAATAATCAATAACTGTTTTAAATGATTCCAAATAGATTATCTTCTATATATATATATATATATATATATATATATATATATATATATATATATATATATATATATATATATATATATATATATATATGAAAATAAGTCGGGTTTTCCTTCCTCACAAAATAACTCCAGAACGCACGAACTGATTTCGACAATTTTGCATTCGTTGGAAAGGTCTCGGGCTCCGCAAGGTTTATAGCTGAGAAAATTAGTGGTGCATGGCATCGTGCCCTGATGCAAATTGCTGGAACTTCACGCACCGTAATTAAAAATTCGAATAATAAATAATCAATAACTGTTTTAAATGATTTCAAATAGATTATCTTCTATATATATATATAAAAATAAGTCGGGTTTTCCTTACTGACAAAATAACTCCAGAACGCACGAACCGATTTCGACAATTTTGCATTCGTTGGAAAGGTCTCGGGCTCCGCAAGGCTCAGAGCTAAGAAAATTAGTGGTGCATGGCATCGTGCCCTAATGCAAATTGCTGGAACTTCACGCACCGTAATTAAAAATTCGAGTAATAAAAATAATCAATAACTGTTTTAAATGATTTCAAATAGATTATCTTCTATATATATAAAAATAAGTCGGGTTTTCCTTCCTGACAAAATAACTCCAGAACGCACGAACTGATTTCGACAATTTTTCATTCGTTGGAAAGGTCTCGGGCTCCGCAAGGTTTATAGCTAAGAAAACTAGTGGTGCATGGCATCGTGCCCTGATGCAAATTGCTGGAACTTCACGCACCGTAATTAAAAATTCGAGTAATAAAAATAATTAATAACTGTTTTAAATGATTTCAAATAGATTATCTTCTATATATATAGAAATAAGTCGGGTTTTCCTTCCTGACAAAATAACTCCAGAACGCACGAACTGATTTCGACAATTTTGCATTCGTTGGAAAGGTCTCGGGCTCCGCAAGGTTTATAGCTAAGAAAATTAGTGGTGCATGGCATCGTGCCCTGATGCAAATTGCTGGAACTTCACGCACCGTAATTAAAAATTCGAGTAATAAAAATAATCAATAACTGTTTTAAATGATTTCAAATAGATTATCTTCTATATATATATATAAAAATAAGTCGGGTTTTCCTTCCTGACAAAATAACTCCAGAACGCACGAACCGATTTCGACAATTTTGCATTCGCTGGAAAGGTCTCGGGCTCCGCAAGGCTCAGAGCTAAGAAAATTAGTGGTGCATGGCATCGTGCCCTAATGCAAATTGCTGGAACTTCACGCACCGTAATTAAAAATTCGAGTAATAAAAATAATCAATAACTGTTTTAAATGATTTCAAATAGATTATCTTCTATATATATAAAAATAAGTCGGGTTTTTCTTCCTGACAAAATAACTCCAGAACGCACGAACTGATTTCGACAATTTTTCATTCATTGGAAAGGTCTCGGGCTCTGCAAGGTTTATAGCTAAGAAAATTAGTGGTGCATGGCATCGTGCCATGATGCAAATTGCTGAAACTTCACGCACCGTAATTAAAAATTCGAGTAATAAAAATAATCAATAACTGTTTTAAATGATATCAAATAGATTATCTTCTATATATATAAAATAAGTCGGGTTTTCCTTCCTGACTAAATAACTCCAGAACGCACGAACCGATTTCGACAATTTTGCATTCGTTGGAAATGTCTCGGGCTCCGCAAGGCTCAGAGCTAAAAAAATTAGTGGTGCATGGCATCGTGCCCTAATGCAAATTGCTGGAACTTCACGCACCGTAAATAAAAATTCGAGTAATGAAAATAAATAACAATTGTTTTAAATAATTTCAAATACATTATCAACATATATATATATATAAAAATAAGTCGGGTTTTCCTTCCTGACGAAATAACTCAAATAGATTATCTTCTATATATATAAAAATAAGTCGGGTTTTCCTTCCTGACAAAATAACTCCAGAACGCACAAACCGATTTCGACAATTTTGCATTTGTTGGAAAGGTCTGGGGCTCCGCAAGGTTTATAGCTAAGAAAATTAGTTGTGCATAGCATCGTGCCTGAATGCAAGCTGCTGAAACTTCACGCACCGTAATTAAAAATTCGAGTAATAAAAATAATCAATAACTGTTTTAAATAATTTCAAATAGATTATCTTCTATATATATAAAAATAAGTCGGGGTTTCCTTCCTGACGA